ATAAAATTCACTGAGCTAGCAAATGTCTTATAAAGCAATCATATTAACCACTGCTTTATGACAGATACACTCTAAATATCTATGACCTATAGATAGCTTCATAGAAGAGCTTAGTCTGTCTCATGGTCAAAATAATTGGATGCCCCACTAAATTCGATGTGACTTCAAAACTTATCGTTAACGACATAATTTTATAGCAGGCGCCCTGATATATTCTTATTTTGCTGCAAGGTTGACACCTAAGCAAAAATTAACAAATTGAATCTTGTCTTTGGGCTTAATTCATGTATGATCATACATACACCATTAGAATATTGTTTCAGCCATCATAAATGGTGCTCTTCCTTCTCCTATTTGTGGAATAATTTGTGTATCTCAAGTTGGCTTTTAAAGTCATCGAAGGCAAAGTAGTAGGGTATCAAGAGATGAACATCTTATTGAATCAGATTCTTGGTATGGGTTCAGAAAGGTCATGGACTTCCTGCGAAACACTGCTCTATGGAACCAGCTCCCAAGAGGATGCTTCCCCGATCACTATAATCTTAACCTGTTCAAGACTAGGGTTAACTGTTATCTTTCATTCCTATACACACAAATTGCCCCCTAACGTAACCTTCTACTTCGAGTGGCCCTGGCCTTTTTAAAGGGTGAATCTTACTGTAAAAAAAAAAACTCTTTGAAAATGTGGGTCCATACTGTTATAGCATCCCACAAGTCTTCTGGTTGTCTTCAAATCCAGAATTTGTATATCCCTTCCTATGGGATTGACATACATTGACTGTGGGGGCCACTTTAACGCAGAAGACTCATGACTATGTTCCATGAACCAATCTGTCACTATTTTTTATTAGGGACACACAGTGCCTTGTCCTGTTGGAAGTGCCTACCAGAAGATGCACATATTGCCATCATAAAATGAGACACATGATCAGCTACATACGTCGGTAGGTTACGGCATTTAAAGGGTAATGTATTAATAACAGGCGTCCCAATGTATACCAAAAAATATTCCCCGTATATTACACCACCAACAACAGCCTGAACTATTGATATAAGGCAGGATAGGTTCATACATTCATGTTGTTTGCGCTAATTTATGGTCAGCAGAGCAACGTTTGATTATTGTTCACTTTTTTGCTATCCTTAACAAATAGTAGAACCAGTTTCTTGTTCTTATCTGACAAACGTTGAAATTGTGGGGCACCTAGTGAGAACCAGTCTCATTATGCTAGCAAATTTAAAGAAAAAAATCTTGCTAATAATCGCTCTACGGTTGATTAATGTTTTACTTAATCTTTTTTTTAATCGTTATCACCCCATGTAAGGCAGTAAATCCACTAAGACACAAAGGATTATAGGGGGTAGAATAAATAGGAACAGAACCATTAGTAATAAGCAAGAGGAGGAAAGAGTAATAAGGAGGGCAATAGATAGCGATTGGCATTGCATTTAAATTTTTGCAGATTAAAGTTGGCTGGAAAGTATGGCGCCAGAAAGGAGTGCCACAAACGAAAAGTGCGAGAAAAGAAACTGTTAGCATTGAAGTTACAGCTAAATCTAACCAGCTCAACTGTAAATTGAAGAGACCTCAATGCCAGTCTAGTACTGCGTTTAAATTAAAAAAGTCTAGGTACCATAGTGAAGAACTCATCCGAACAATTACCATGAAAGTATTTATAGAAAATATATAGAAGAGCAACCTTTACGGCGGTAAGAAAGTGATTGGAGCTGAGCTGCCACATCCGGACCAATAATATTGCAGATTCTTCTTTGTATTTCATCAAGGTGCTCAAGGGAAATAGCAGAGGTACCGGACCAATATAGCAGCAATATTCTAATCATGGACGAATAGTAGACTTATGTAAGATAGATTGTGGAGTAAAGTGAAGTTTAATCGAGCACAAGACTGAAGGAACGGGGCACCTCGTGACAATCAAAGTTACTATACCAGCAGTATTCTCTGCGAGATTATCATGCTAACCACCTGTCTATGAAGTACGCCTACACTGTAATTATATAAGTAAAGCCTGAAATGCAATAGAGATGTTTAAAATTAATGCAGCCGTTTGAAACGATAGCGAACAATTCTTACGTTCAACGTTTCTGCTTATAAATAAAATCTATTTGGTAATAAAACCCAGAAAAAACGACGCCCGATAAAATTGATGAACTAGGAAACAAACAAACAAAAAGCAAATAATCTACAATGCATTGGTAAAGTGTGAACCAGTATTGCTATGTTCGTGTTACGTGACGAGCGCGTATTTTAAAACTTCCACGCAAGCGTCCCGCCGTTCCCTCCTTCCCAACTAAACGCCACTGTCTTTTTCACTCTTCTTTAATTCGATTTGTAAGTACAGAAAGGTTATCGCTGCATGGCGAGACGACACATGACAGGTTAGCCTCTCTGTTGCCTATGCTAACTCACTGACAAAACCGGCCCGGTAGAAAAGAGACGATCATTTTCAAACGACGGATACGGTTTACTGAGCGCATCGTTTTACTGAGGCAAATTGAAGTTGAATTCAGGACATGTTTATCTTCACTTTAGCCTTTCCTTATAGTTTATTTCGATCTATCTATCTATCTATCTATCTATCTATCTATCTATCTATCTATCTATCTATCTTGATACATTTCACTGACATACACGTGGGTGACATCTATAAACGTTGCTCACGCACACACATAAACACGAATTAAGGTTACTGTCTAACATACACCTAGACAAACAAGCATTTCTTTACATACACATTCATACACTATTACACACTTCAATGTCCAGAATGTTCCTCACACGTATTTATATATTATCCATTGCGTTAATACACATGAAACGTATATGACCAATAAGTACTAACCAAAAATCTTAACATATCAATACTCTGTCTCTTCTTTCATTTCTATCTCGATCTCTGACGAAGCTTTGATAAAAATGAAACATGTTAGATTGAGATACATTTCCTACATATCCTTTATTTTATTTTATTTTGTCGGATTCATATCCATATCTTATCTGCATTTCATATCTATCTCATTTTGTTCATTATCTATCTATCTATCTATCTATCTATCTATCTATCTATCTATCTATCTATCTATCTATCTTATTCTGTTTATTCCACTGGATACCATTAGCCCAGTAATTTTTCGCTTTCTTTCTTTCTTTCTTTTATTTTCTCCTCTCTCTCTTTTCTCTTTTCTTATCTTTCTATGTCTCGCTCTCGCTCGATCCATAGATACACACACACACACACACACACACACACACACACACACACACACACATATATATGTGTGTGTGTGTGTGTGTTATTTATATAGGCATAAATATTTAAGTAAATGCTATGTTTATAATAAACGGTATTAAGAACATACAAGAAATTTTCATAGAAAATATGTGTCCTCCGACATGAATCGAACCTGTATCCAAACCTGAACTGTCATATAGCCTGACGTGCTATACCAGTTTAGCTACAGAGGAGCGTCAGGTTAGCAAACCCGATGTTACTGTTTTTAAACTACAACTTTACATGATTTCCCTCGAACGTTCATATCTGCTCGAAGCGTATCCTCATATACATATGTCAATGAACCAACACATTTGTGTACAGCCCCATCAAATTTAATGTGGATGTGTGTGCGTTTTGTGTGTGTATGTTAACTCAAAAACAACAGGTTTTTAAGTACAATGATATACAGACATAGAGAGAGAGAGAGAGAGAGAGAGAGAGAGAGAGAGAGAGAGGAGGGGGGAGAAGGGATATAGGGGAGAGGGGGGAGAAACCCTTTACACTTTCTGTGAAGTAAAGAGTCACAGTCTCACTACTATGTTGCGGCTGTGGTTTTCGTTTACGAGGTGAAAATGCCAGTCTCCCGCTCGATCAATCAAGGCTAGAGATTTAACTTACAGATGTGGGAGAAGAAATAGATTCATAATTTCCACAAAGTTGTTTATGTTTCACAAGAAAGTGATGTAGACACGAAAATGGTACTGTTTCATAACGAGTTTTAAAATATCGATACGAAAAAAAAGAAAAAAAAAGTGATCTGTCGCAAAGATTATGATCGATGTCTAAAAGCAATTCATAGCCTGTCCGAAACACTGACAGAACATAGTCTTTTTAAAAAAGAAAGCACTCTATTTAACGAAGATAAGACCCGAAAATATTTATGTAAAAATATTTAGGGTGAAATAGTTGTGTCAGTAGTTGGTATTTGAGTCTGGATTATAGAATATGAAATTTTCAAGACAGGGAGTTAGATTCGTAAAGGCACTACATAATTTTATTTGTCACTATGTCAGGTCAAAACAATATGAATGAAGATTTTCAAGGATAATTCAGTTTGCTTTTTACTAAAACTTGACATTGTATCCGACTAAAGAAAATTCAGTATCTATCTATCTATCTATCTATCTATCTATCTATCTATCTATCTATCTAAGCAAATTCATATCTGTTTCAATATATATTTGCATTTTCGTACATATTTACGACCTTTTAGGTTGGACTCTAAAACGTCTTTTATTGAGGGAAATGGCTCACAACGAAGGACACTAGTTTTTTTTCTTTTAAAATTGACTGAATAGCACAATGACAAGTGAAATAAACAGCTGCTGTAAGTAATGCATATTATGTTCGGTTTATGGTGTAATCATTAGAAGAATCAATTCAAATACTTCAACCAGGGACCCACTCTTGCATTCAAATACATACTTATTTGAAAAATATGTATTTGAAGGAATATAAATATATATATATATATATGTGTGAGGTTTTGTACATATGTATATCTATATCTATATATATATATCTATATATATATATATATATAATTCTTATGCAAACATATATATATATATATATATATATATATATATATATATGACATTTGTACATGTATTCACACATATGTAGTTTTGTATGCATTTATACGTGTATATCTATCTATCTATCTATCTATCTATCTATCTATCTATCTACTTACCTTTCTACCTGGTTAAGTTCATTTACATATAGGAATAAATTATATTCTCTCACGAATTCAAATTCATGAATGTTATGCGTTATTTTACATATTTTACCTGTTATATATATATATATATATATACATATATATATATATATTAAGACTATTTGTATATTTGTTCATCCACCTTCGATTTGTTGAGGAACAAATATGTGAATATACTTATTTTAATTTAAATTTTGTAATTAAATTAAGGCCATTAGTTCCATTTCATCCTCAAGCGAATTTTGGAGTAACGTATGATTTTAGCTGTGTCTTTAAAACCCAGTAATTTTAAAAGTTACTCCAAAATTCGCTTGAGGATGAAATGGAACTAATGTCTTTAATTTAATTACAAAATTAAATTCGGGGCTTTTAACTTCCATTTTTGAAACATGGTTAGAACTGTGTAGCGAAAAAAAACATATTTTAAATAAATCAATTTATAATATATATATATATATATATATATATATATATATGTGTGTGTGTGTGTGTGTGTATGTCTGCGTGTGTGCGTGCGTGAGTGTCAGTGTGAGAGGGAGAGAATATATATATATATATATATATATATATATATATATATAAAGCAGAAAAGTTCACTGTTCGAGCAAGAAGAGCAAGAATTTCTGATATCTAAACGTTTGCTCAAAGTTTGATAAGTGGTCTAGACTAAGAACATTGCAACACCCTCTCGTGAATATAATTTTTTTTTCATTCCACTAATAGGCAAGCCTTTTAATAGTTCTTTTAGTGATTTTGCTTATTTTGGTTCAAAGTAGCGCATGTCTTGTGTTAGGGTGTGTAAAATTGTCTGCATGTAGATATTCCAGTACTTTCAACCATCAATGGCCATTTTAAAGAACCGTTGACTGACATCTGTTACATCTGAGGTTTTATTCAATTTGTCGTTATTAATTATTGAATATATTTCATACATTAGTTCCCCATATATTTAATGCAGATTCTACATTATTATAGCTTCAAGATGTAATTTTTTTATGTATTACCTTGGGTAATATCTTTATAATCTCTACAATTATATGTTTAATATGATAGTTTTCTTGGATATGTTAATTTATAAGGAGATAAATTTTAAAAGTATACCCTTATATACATACGAACAACTTTAAACAGATGAATATAGAAAATGTTTATTTTGTAGGAAAATAAGAAAAAATAAGTAAAAAATTATCCAACTAATCTTTGTCGCTGGGCTGAAATGAAAGCTTCTTATACATATGACACGAAGTCACAAGTCATTGTAACGAAGGCTTTGAGCCTACTGGCCTTTTGTCCAACGCATCACCATGACACATTGCTTGCTATCTCTCGTTTCTCTCTCTCTCTCTCTCTCTCGTAAACTTTAACAAAGGGCGGCTGTGTTTAGTTTAAGGAGTTTAATTTTAAGTGTTGATGAAGCATAAATGTGCCTAAATAGCAGGAGGAGTTAACACTAGCAGACGGAAAACGTGTTCCTAGCCATTATATATATATATATATATATATATATATATATATATATATATACACGATTTTTAGTCATAACATCCATCTGTATATTTAACATTTCTAAGCAATATATATATATATATATATATATATATATATATATATATATATATATATATATATAGAGAGAGAGAGAGACGAAAATGTCTGGAAATTACTTTTCTCGCTAGTTCGGTCACGATAAATTTGCACCAGCCTCTTACAATGTATCACCATTCTTGGTAGATTTTATATTGTCATAGTCAGGGGAAAAGGTGATGGAGAGAAAAAGAACAAGAATACAGATGAATTTGCTTAGATTGAAACAAAATGATATTCTTTCAAAAAATTTTGAAACTACCGGCGTCTCTCGTTTCGTTCGCATGTATAGACGTGGCAACATCAACAAATTTCCACTTCATCATTTTTTTTTGTCAATACTGTTTGTTGATATATAAAATTAAACACAATTATATATCGTTATATATATATATATATATACATATAATTATTTATTTAAAAATATGATTCCAAATCGCTACATAAGAGGTCTTATGTTTCAAAACAAGAGCCGAAAACTTCAATATAATCCATTAAATTAAATTGAGTTGAAAGTAAAATGGGTTCCGTTCCATCTTCAAGCGAAATTTTTGTTGGAATTCAACAAAAAATTTCGCTTGAAGATGAACAAACCATTTTAATTTAAACTCATTTTAATTTAAAGGATTATATTCAAGTTTTCGGCTCTTGTTTTGAAACATGAGACCTCTTTATGTAGCGATTTGGAATCATATTTTTAAATAAATAATTATATTTATGCTCTACTTTTGTATCGAGCACTATTTTTTAAAAATAATAACTAAAATACTAAGGGACTTTGGATTATTTACCTAACCGGTTCCTTCCTATTTTCTATATATTTTCACACACACACACACACATATATATATATATATATATATATATATAGTTACAAATTTATATATATATATATATAGTTAATTCGAAAAGATCGTCATATATATATATATATATATCGTCATATATATATATATATATATATATATATATATATATATATATATAATAAATTAAATCGAAAAGATTTTTTTTATATATATATATATATATATATATATATATATATATATATATATATATATATATATATGGTTAAATCCAATAGAAATAGGGGCTGAGAAGAGTATACCAATCTTCTGAGTGGCAAAATGAGTCTCGTTTCAGTGGTCAGTTGACCCACTTACTGTACCTGGTGCGTACACTCTCTTACTTTATTTTGTATGACATTTTCTTTCAGGTCATGGGTTATTATGGTTTTCTAAAGTTTTTTTTATGTCTTTTTTCCTTATCAATACTTTACAATCCATCTTTCTCTTTGTGGGTTTCTTTATCCATTTGCATAATATATATGCGAGTAACCAATCTTACGTAGTTTCTTTGTTGTTTTCCTCTGCTCCTCTTGCCTTCGATATGTCTTGTGAGAGTTAAATTGTTGAAGCCTAATTTCCAGATTAAATGTCTACAGAAAATGCAACCCAGTTTTTTTTTTTTTGTTATCAGCAGTTTCTTTGTAGTTCTTATTCTCCGTAGCATTTCACATCCATTCTATTGTCAACGTTCTTCGGTAGAACCACATTTCGGTTGCATTCTTTTTATGTGCCCAGTCATCACTAACATATAGATAGGTAGACATCACATAGATGTCTAGCAGTATTTCCTTCATTTTAAAGGACATTTTCGATTTTCTTCCTTACTCCCTTTTCTGAAAAGTGATTTTGTTAGTTTTCTGTCTCACACGTCCAGTCGTCTTTTGTTGCACTCTCCAAATTAATGAATTTCCACACTTATATAAATTTGATGTCCCCAATGTGTAATTCACATTTTGAGTCGCCCCTTTTGCTTACCACAAGGAATCCCGTCATTTATGTCTCGCTTTCCAAGATTAAATAAGTCTTTTCAGTTTTGTTTCTGAATCTGCCATCAACACAGGATTGTATTCGTGTTCTTAAGGCTCGTCCGCAAATAATGTCCTGGTAAAGGAAAGCGAGAAGAAAAAACTAACCATCAATTACAAGAAAACAGAATTTATCGTCATTAGCAAGCGGGAAAACCCAAGATGCCAGCTACAATCTGGAGACGTCAAAATAAAACTAGTATAAAACTAAACTATCTGGATACAATTATAACAGACGATATGACGCATAAACCAGGCACATTAAAATAGCGAAAGTGCTTTCAAGAAACTAAGTAAAATATTAAGAAACAGGAAAATATTACATAAATCTTCCTATATGGCAGTAAAGCGGAACAATTTCCTCACTGATGAAAATGAGACTTGGGTCAACGAAGATGTGGTTCTACAGGAAAAAAATACTGACAATACCATAGTTGAAATATGTTAATAACGAAGACATTGAGTGTATGAGGAAGAGACAATTGAAATGTATGGGATACATAATGAGGAAAGAAGAGTTCAATAACCTGATATTCACAGGTCATTTATAAAGCATTATTTGTCATCTATTCGCATACATGTCTTGTTTCTAATACAGAATGCAGATTATCCGAATTTCCTTTCTGTATAGACCAAGCTTCCCTAAGATTTGTCAAAAATCTTTGCGTCATTTATGAAACATAGTTATTGGTCTACATCTTTCCCCGTTCTGAAAACATTATGGCCACGAATATAGTAGTTCTAGTACCAGCGTCTTATAAAAACCATATTGTGTTCCTCTTTCAGATCTGTTCCGAACATTATTTATTGGAATGCCAATTATTAGTTTTGTTACGTGGCGCATCAAGGCAATTGTTTAATGAAGCTTGTATTCATTTCCACCTGGTTGCTTTGACAACGCTATGAAAATTGATTTACTTAGATCTTCCCGTATTTCGCCACTATTGTGTATGTTATTTAACACCTCAGTAATTTTATCGATGTTAAATCATTTAATGCTGTATGCATTTCTATTACAACCTTATTCGGTCTTGTCTCTTTACTTTCCTTCAACTTGGCTACTTGCTGTCCTTATATCAGATTTTCGTATCACAGTTCTACTATGTTTTTATGCATTATAGATCTATCTCATTTGGTGTGACGGAATTCTTGTGCAATCTATTCACTCTACTGATGCAGTAATTATTCTTTTTCCATTTAGTGACATATTCAAAATATTTTATATTATGTAGTAGATGCAAATTAGATATCATATAGTTGTTAACTACAAATAATACATATTATACTGTTTTTTTTTAATCCTTTCACTCCAAGCAAGACGGAAATGCTACGCAGGGGGGGGGGGTTACAAAGGGTGAAATTGAAAGACTGAGTATAGGGAGGATTGAGGAAAGAACAAAAGATTAACAAAAGATGACGATTGACGTTGTATTTAAATTTTTGAAGATTGTTGTTATGAGGGAAGCATTAAATGGAAGTATTTTCGACATGTGGGGAGTGCAAGAAAAGAAACTTTTGGAGTAG